CTTGTCGAGTCATAAACCCTGTTTTATATCTTTCCTCAAAGTGTGTTCGCAGTCGAGTGCTCTCTGCGGATTGAGTATTCCAAGAATGTACGATTAGGTATGAAAACTTTCCTTCGTCGAGGTCTTCGCAGAATCCTTTTTGGTCGGTGTACTATGCAACGGATTAGGATGAGTATATGGCTAAGATGGGTAGAGTTTAGGTATACTTACGCTAGTATCCGTGAGGTTCATCAAATCGTCACGGATTTGGAAATATTGCCCGATCATGTATGCTAGATTGTCGAGTTCAAGTTTTCTGCTTTGTGTCAGTAAAATAGTCGTCTATGAGAATCAGGAAGTCTCCTTACACGCAACCGCTATTTTTTGAGAAAGCGGTCATAATGCGGGTTAGAAAGCGAAAGAGTCCACCGGTTTCTAGTTTGGTATTGTATCAGAACCCCGTCAATCTATATCTCATGCTTGAATCAGAATACATACTCTTTTCAACCATCTCGATATACTCATCCTCCGTCGGACATTTTCTAGTATCTCTCCAATGCATGTCATAACTCTGTCCGATTAAAGCGTTACGTGATTCCTCTTATAGACAAACAAATCAATAACAAGTTAGAAAATCACAATAATGCCTTGGTAGATATATGATGGAAGTAATTACTAAAGAAAATCTCCGAGAAAGCCGAGCTACCAAGCTTTCTAGTTTCATCCATCGCCCATAAGATCAGGTAGTTAGCGGAGTTAATCGCCTGCCCTTCCCCATATACGACATGAGCAGCTTTTTGTCCCCGTCTTAAAGGCGAATTATCTTCTATATCATCGAGTCTATATATTGCTGTTAGAATTAATGCTTTGATAAAGTCTGGGGGGTATACGAACGAAATAGATGCGGTGTGCAGTTTCTTTCCAATGTTTTTGATCTGTGTAAGATGGGGCTCGGGAATAGAAAACCAGAGATTTAAAGCATCCACAAATGCTTCTCTGACACCTTTTGAGGGCATCGCAGTTAAGTATTCATATGGTTCGAGTAGTAGCTAAGATGGGTTTTAATGAGATTAAGCTGAGATGTCAAGGCTGACGCAGTGGATATACTCCTTACCTTGGTATCTAGTATTTCTTTCGAGGTATCTCTAGTTACTGTGGATAAAATTAATGATGTAGCGGCTGTAGATGTTTTCAATTCGTTTTCGTCCGTCTGGCAATCCGTTTGTTCTTCTCGTGGTATCAGTATACGTTAAACCATAATCTTATTTAGCTGAATGAGATAGACTCCCTAAGAGAACCTACCTATCGAAATATTCTCAAGTTTTTCTTCTACTTCTTTGACTGAAGGGTATGTAGATTCAAGGTTAGGTGGTGCCCAATGGTAACGAGGACAGTCCAAATTCCACCACAAGTTTGCTGAAAATGCGTAATACCATCCTTCGATATACCTTGCCAATCTTGTATTCTGATGAGCATGAGTTTTAAAGAACTGCTTTCGGTCTTCTAAGAATTTCTGCTCGAATTCCAGTGCCTTTTTTCGAACAACTTCCTTGGCTGTACCGATATCCAGATTCTCCCACTGTGTATACAACCAGACGGAATTTATAAGCGTGGTATCATCGGATTCTAAGAATTCGCGGTATTCCTTGTTGAAGGAGAAGTAATCGTTTAGAAGAGCGAGGGCCCTCCGAACCGCTATGATAACGTCATGGGCGATCTTGTGTTCTTCGTCGGTTAGTTTGATACCCATGCTGAATAGAATCACACCACCGGAGAACCTGTATCTCTAAGTTACTCAATCATGCCAACCCTCGTGAATAAGTCAAGTGCTTACCCGCAGCCAGTATCTAGAATACGAAATTCTAGATATTCGTCCAGATTTCTAAAGTTTTTCGAATGAGTAATTGTCGTAGAAACCATCTGTTGCCATTTTTCAACAAGTTGCCATCCACAGTCTGGATCCGTTTCCACCAGTTCCAAGAGAATTTTGGATTGAAGTTGTTTCGCGCCAGCAATTGATTGGTTTACCTGGCTGTCTGTACTATTGATGCAAAGCTTATCTGTATGGATATCCAACTATAAAGGAGATGATTAGTTTGCATATCTCAAGATTGGTATATATGGACCCGGGAATATTGTCTACATCTGCATTCTGGTTCTGTTCCATCATGTTATCGGAAAGAAACGCATCTGTTGTATTAAATTCGTGGTTCTTGTAAGCTTTACTCGAATATTAAAAAACAACAAACTTGGGGACAGAGGAGTCATACATTCAGAGATATAAGAGCACAGGGCCAATCTCTCAGGTATAGCCATTGGAACCCCTAAGCCCATAAGGTTTCCGACAGTATCACTACGATTACCCCATACTCGTACGGGCCCAACGTATGTGCTCCAGTCTTTTCGGCATTCGTCGGTCCCTCGGTCTGTTTCGTCGTAAGATTTGTGTTTTCGGAGGATATAACCTTCTCCGAAGCCGTGGGTGTCGATGGAGGAGGTATCTACGATAGTAGATGTAGTATCCGGGTCAATTCCAAATTGTAGTAGATCTAGGGTTCCGGGCTGCATTATTGTAAACTAAGATCGGCTTCCTTTATATATCAATTGATAAATATGGTTCGATTTTGATATCGCTGGGTTTGCTGGAGTATTCGAGACTTTTCTTTCTTTGGCTATCATAGATATAAATGAAGAGATAAGGAATTAAGAATGCTCTTATATGTAAGATCAGACGGGTGGTTAGTGATGTAGGTGAAAAATGCTCCAACCATCTCAAGCATGCAAATGCCTCGGCCTAGTCTGGTGCCACGACATAGCCTTAAAGTTTAGGCACAGATATGGCACGATATATTGATACAAATTCGGACTCTTTGGGCGAATCCTCGAGGCCTCCTAGAATTAATGTTTCTTTTTTTTTGAAATTTGTCCTGCATGGAGACTCAACGACACTTTTGTGATAACCCCCAAACGCAGCTTCCATGGCTATCAGACTTATGCTCCTTTTCCTTCAATAAGAGGCCTTTTCAGCTCTTCGATTGAATGTGAATCGTTGATTTGATATTCTGAAAATCGGGTAAATTGATAAAACTGCAGCTAGTTAACGACAAGTCAAGAATATACCATTCAACTGAAAGTACGAACCAGTATACCATATATCCAGTTAGGGTTCTATTGGAGAACATTTGTACCTGACAATATATTGGTTAAAAGGTAGTTCGTTTTATCCGGGGTGCAGATGCAAGCCACTTTCAAAGGTTTGGTCCTGCTTTCCAAGAGAAAAGGTGGTAAAGGGCCATTGGTCGTAGGGACCAGTGATCTTTCTGGCGCGCATTGTAAAGCTGTTGAATTTAATCGCTCTGGTGGAGAATTTATGATTCTTCTGTATTAATAGGATGTCAGTTTTATGCAGGGAAATGGGGTACGGGATCTTGTGTTCCGGATAGCAAGGCTTATAGCGTCGTCACTTTTCAAAATTTGCTGGGTCCTAAGATCTTGTCTTAGCTGAAGTTAGGGGTTTACTCTATTTTGAATTCTCTTAGGTACGAAGATCGACTCTTTCAAGGCTGGATTCTTTATACTATCAATTACTGTGTCTAAGAGGTCTTAAAGTTGTATTTAGCGCCCACAATGCATCAATGAAATCTAAGTACTTACCCAGGTACCTAGGTACTTACTTACTAACGTAATTTCCCTACAATACATTTGCATATGTCCACCTCTGAAGAAAGTGATAACCCTGCTTCCAAAGATCTAACCTTCTGAATGGTAGCCGGCCCTCGCACCATATTAATCCAAATCACTGCCATTGCAGTGATAGGATATCTACTCCTCACAGAGATATATGAGCTTTACTTCTCACCGCTTTCCAAGATTCCGGGACCATGGTACGCTGCAGTTTCACGGCTGTGGCTGATATACAGATCATTAAGAGGGGGTGTTATATTTACAGCCTACGACCTACACAAGCAGTATGATGAGTTTAATATTTCCTAACAGTAGAACGGCAGATGTGTATTAATCAACCACTTTCCTAATTTCAGGTCCTTATGTGCGAATGTCTCCAAACGAGATTTCGGTAGTCGATATGGAATCTATACGAAAGGTGCATGCCCCTTTAGATCCATACGAAAAGGTGGGATTTTACAAAACAATCGGAAAGGGATTTAAAACCATATTCATTCTTACAGACCACGATACCTACAAACACCGTCTAAAAGCTCTTGGGGGCGGGTTTGCAGCTGTCCTATTAACTGAATGTCCCGAGGTTGACCTCGCGGAATCTTTTACGGATGAGAGGATGGAAATAGTAGAGTTTTTATGCGTCAAGCCACGGGGAGGGGAGTGTGAACTAAAGAAGAAGAAAGTTGTAGGTTGATATTATCACCCTGCTGTAACTAGACAAGTTTATTTTATATATGCATTAGTAGTAGGTAATAGGAGCTCATAAACTCGACGTCTCAATATTTTTATATTGTATTGTTAGTACGAGGCTAAAGTTATATCAGTGCGTCATATTATATTGTACTGCATATTATTTCTCCGCTACCCTTCGGCCCCTCCCTTCTTTCTCGTGCCATCGATCGTTCCAACTAGTTAGCCTCTTGCCTAGACGCCGGTGGACTACAAGTGTAGTTGCATGTGACCCGTTTACAATGCAATGCAAAATGTCTTCAAAATGTGGACCACTGCCTTGGTGCAATGATAAAATATAAATCTGAAAACATTGTGAAACATAACTAGAATATATAGGTAGTAAAATGCAACAACCAGCATTCGACACAGGAAATACCTAGGTAGTCACTGGCAACTAAAACACCTTTCTAGAGTTCCAGTTTAAAGGCCAATTAACAGGATAATTACTCCATGAGGTAACCCCGGAACCTAAAAAATAGTTCCCAGTTAAAACTGAGCTAAATACCCGGTATCTCGCTAACAATTTAAGAATTCCCTCAGATCAGACCTTTCAGGGTTTGATAGGGCAAAAAACGGCAAAAAAAGAAGCAAGCTTCTTTATTCCTGAGTGCTCCCATACGGATTTGAACCGTAGACCTCGACATTTCACGAAACCGGAGATGAAATTCTCAGACACGATACTAGTGTCGCGCTCTACCAACTGAGCTATAGGAGCTGATTGAGATGAAAAATGGACTTGCAAATTGGATAATTGGCTCTAGCAGGTATAGGCGCACATTTTGGAAGGTTGATTAAAGTGGTTTATTGACTGTTTAGAATTTCAATTGATCAAATCTTTGGCTCTAGGAGTTCAGAGATCACGAAGGATGAAGGGTTTTCCCATGTCTCGTATCCCAGCGCGCCGGCTTTCGGGTTGAACAGCGACCAGGTTGTGTTACTTCACGACCTCCAACACATTTCAACATCCCAGTTCCCACTTGATAGCCTCGTGGCGGCGTGTCAGACCTCGAGACTAACACTTCACTCATAAAACCCGTCCTACCATGACATAACCCACGATGCCGACCCCGATCCCCAACCTCCCAGCCCTTCGTGTCCTCAGACTCCCTCTTAGCGACTACTCCCAAGTCTCCAAACTCCAATCCATCCTATTCAACCTCCACCTCCTCTACAAATCCTCCCAAAGCACACCGAACCCGATCCCTCAACCGCCACCATACCTTATCACCTCATCCTTCCACCCAATCTACACATTCGGCCGCCGTGAAGCCACCAGAACCCCTCCAGAACCGGTTTTAAACCTCTTATCTGAGAATAAAGCTGCGATAGCATATACACCGCGCGGTGGACAAGTGACGTTTCATGGACCGGGACAGGTTGTTGCGTATCCGATTCTTGATTTGAAGAGACATGGACTTTCGCCTAGATGCTACGTACGAGTTCTTGAGAAGGCTGTTATAAGGGTGTTGAGGAAATGGGGGATAAAGGCGTTTACGACAAACGAGGCGGGAGTGTGGGTTAGGAACGATAGAAAGGTTGCGAGTATTGGGGTGAATTTGAGGAGGTGGGTTAGTAGTCATGGAGTGGCTTTGAATGTTGATACGGATCTTGAGTGGTTTAAAAAGATTGTGGCTTGTGGGTTGGATGGTGTGGAGATGTGGTCTATGAAGAGGGAGTGGGAGGCTCAGGTGGAGATTAGGAAGAATGAGGGCCGTTGGGTTGGTGGCTTGAGAGAGTTGATAAGTCAGGTGGATGGCAGGGTGTTCAAGAGAAAAGTAACGGACGAGGTTGTATCGGAAATAGCAAGTGGGATAGGGTGTATGTCGACTCAATCTATCACGGTTGAAGAGGTCGAGGAATTGGGGGAGAAGTATGGACTTTCTGGGGAGGATGGAGTGGAGTGGCTTAAGTACTGGGATTCTTCTGGTCTGTACTATAGGGCTAAAGGAGATACTATAGAAATGGAGGGCGAGGAAAGAGGTCCTGATGAAACGAAGGAAGTGGATTTGAAAGAGGTCAAAGATAAGGACAAGGACGACACAGATTCTGATGAAGGTGCGCCCCTTTTCTTCGCGTCTAAACGTACTTATCGAGGTTGGCGCCTTCCTTAGAATCCATAAACTAAGAACTATTAAGCTCCTCGAACTTAAAATGGGCGTGAGGCCTTGTTAAGAGGCAGGGCTGAAGATCCAATTCTAGGTTATACCATTCAGATGGTGCCTGTCTTATAGCACAATTGCATCAGAAGAACAAGAGGGTAATTGCGTCAGTCTAGCGTATTATCATAAAACGAAACCGACTTGAGCAATGATCATGGGCACAAAACGGGTAAGCACCGGGAAGAAGCTAGCCGATCATTTCAAGTAATTTTGGAAACACCGACGGTTTTAATGATAGGCAGATAAAGATGCCGGAGCAATGTAAGGAGGAGATGGGCAAACTGACACTACTGATGATGTTAAAGAGTGTAGCATTGAGCGCCGGATACACTAAAGAAACCGAAGAATGACGGGCCTTGGGGTCAAAGAAAATAATATATAGTGGCGGCAGCCATGTATATAGGCAAATATAAATGTACATATTCACATATCTGGATTGTAGCCTAGATTCATTAGCATAGCGTTGCCTTTATATATCGACTGTGATCGTTCTTTGATGGTGGTTAAATCTCCAGCTGTTCTCAACAGGCACTTTCTTCATCATCATATATCTGTAGTAGCCCGCGATATAGAATGATAGAAGAATACAAACTTGCAAAGTTCAAATTTTTTTTTTTTTTTTTTTTTTTTTTAAAAAAAAAAATTAGACTAAACTATAACAAGCAACGGACTCGCTCCAGAGGATTCGCTCCATTGACATAATTTCATTAACTTATTGTTCATCTTTCTCATAAGAGAACTGCATGAATCTCAAACTCAAAACGGTAATATGCACTTCACTAAAATGGGCATAAGTCGTAGTCCCATTTAGAAACCATTTCGTCGCCAGACTCCTCAACTGTGGAAACCATTGACAGTTGCTTCTTCTTCGGTCAAGCCCCAATCCTCAACACCGCCCTTCCAATCGGCAATTTTCCCGCCTTCGAGTTCAACAACCACAAATACACTACCCTCTTCTCCTTCAACATAACACTTTGAACCTTCAAACTTATTAGCTTCTTTATGGACGTCCTTATAATACTCTTCCTCATTACTGCCTGGTTCCAAAATCCTAGCATAACCCCTAATATTATGCGAATAACTTTGCAACTCGCTACTATTTATATTGTGCAAAAACTGTGCCAACGGTGACAAACTATTCGCATCAGGGCTGGATGGTCCCGATGCAGTTGGCGGACGTTGTGAAACCCAGTCGTGAACTAGAAGGGAGATTTGGGGGTTGCTTTTGATATTTTGCAGCTTTTTAGTTGTAGGGGAGAGGAGCATGATGATTACGCCGGGACCGGAAGTAGAAGAGACGGCCGTGGGGAGAGCGGTGCCGGTGAAGGTTTTGGTGGGGGGGATGTAGGTGTAGTTCATCAAGGCAATGTGGGGGCGGAGTGTGGAGGTACATGTTGCCAGGTGGAGCTGTATTCCATTAGTAAGTGTATTGACATTGGCAAGACAGAATCATCGGTCATATCCAATGATGAAGCGGGAATAGATATAGATACTTACGAAACGGGCATTGTTGAGGCACGAGAGCACCTCTAGTGGGAGCTGCCCTTCGTAGGTGCGTTGGGTTGGAGGTGCCATTTTCAGTCTAATGCCATACTTATTATTACTAAGTACTAAGCCACGTCTAGATGGATATAGGTTTTGGGCTTATCCGGTTAGTATTACCTTCAAGTAATTAAATATTGAATTTTGATGTCGAAGCCGAGATTGAAATCGGAGTTGAAGTTGAATTTAAAGTTGGGGGAGGGGATGATGATGATGTAGAGAAAGACAATAATCCGGGTGCAGACATGTGCCGTTATCTCTACTCCGGACGCCAAGCGAGGAGGTGAAATCTAGATTCGCTAGCCTGTCGATAACCAATCGACAGCACAGCTCGGATCGAGTCTCGACACCTCCCTGCATATAATATCTAAGCACATGCTTATCTAAGGATGAGCTTATATCTAACCTCCATGTCCCCGTAGACATCTCGTAGAGGTACTTGAGAGTTCTATATCTACTCTCTTCTAATATACATCATGCTATCAATTATTTCAAACAGTAGACCGCGGCCGTTAGAATCATAAAGAGACCGGCCATATTTGCCTGATCAGATAAGCAACCGATAAGAGGCGCACGACGTCATTCCCAACACAGGTCCGAGCGACCGACTAGCGTGCCTGGTTGCTTCCCCACAGCCGTTTCGAACCTGCCTGAACGGACTTCCCCAGGTTTCCCCCTCTTCGACTTCTCTATCCTTCTCCTCTTCTTCACCGCGACTTCCCTCTACACTACCATAATAAACTATCACCATGTTCCGTCCTGCTCTTCGCCCGCTTTCGCGTCGTTTCCCCTCTTCTTTAATCCGTCCCTTATCTACCGCTACTCCGCTCCTTAATAAATCCACCACCCCCTCAATCGGCCAACTCCCAGCCGACTCCACTACTCAATTCGAATCAAACCTTGCAGCCTTTCGCGAAAAACAAGCTGCTCAGCAAGAATCCGCCCGTCAAAAGGCCACCGAAGCAGCGGCAGCCGCTCGTGCTGCCGCTACCGATCCAAACAGTCCTGAGGCTGTAGCCGCTGCCGCTGCCGGTGGAAGCGCCGAAGGTGGTCCCGAAATCAAAACTGGCGGTGTCTTCTCCAAACTTCTCCACGGATCGAGTGAAGCTCAGCATGATACTTACCAAATTCAGGAATCCTTCTCGAAGGTTCTTGCTAGAGGAAAGTACGTTCATGAGTTGGTCTTTCACCGTGTGAAACCGGATAGAGTCGATGAATACATCGAACTTATCGGGAACGAATATCCTCGGATTGCGAATGATCCCAGGGCCGGAGTCAAGCTTGTGGGTAGTTGGAATACCGAAATCGGGGAGGGTGATACATTCCGTAAGTTTCATTATTTACGAAGTCGTCAGATCCTTGTGTATGTATACTAACCGAGTTCTATTACGTAAGTCCATATCTGGGAATACAATGGCTACTCCGGCTACCACTCCACCCAGCGCTACCTCGACGGCCTCCCACAAACCCAAAAATACAAAAAGGATGTCCGTAAACACCTCCAATCGCGCTCTAACTCTCTCGCTCAGGAGTTCTCGTTCTGGCCTACCACTCCGCCTAGGGCTTTGGGAGGTGTATTCGAGCTCCGGTCGTATACTTTGCATCCGGGGAATCTGTTAGAGTGGGAGACTCATTGGAGACGCGGATTGGTGGCTAGGCAGAGTCAGGGTATGGAAGGTGTCGGGGCGTGGTTCACCCAGATTGGTGGGTTGAATGAAGTTCACTATCTCTGGCAATTCGGAGACTTGAGAGGACGTCAGATATTGAGAGAGAAGAGTTGGCAGGCAGAGTAAGTCTTTCCTCTTCTTTTTGTAATTTTGAAGAGGTGATACTAACGAATTGATTTCTAGGGGATGGGCGGATACCGTGCACAAAACGATTCCATTGATTGCAAAGATGCAGTCCAAGATTCTCTTACCTCTCCCCTGGTCGCCCGTTAAATAAATGGGACCACCACTCGACTAGAAAAGGTGAAGGAGTGTATAAATTACAAATTCATGCATTGCGAAAGAAA